TGTGTGTGTATTCTTGTTTCTTTCTTTTCATACATATATATGTGTGTGTGTGTTCTTTTTTCTTTCTTTTCATATACATATATATATATATATAATATAAATAATATATGTGTGTGTATGTGTATTCTTGTTTCTTTCTTTTCATACATATATATATATAAAGAAAAATATATAAATAATATATATGTATGTGTGTATTCTTTTTTCTTTCTTTTCATATATATATATAGAAAAATATACATAATATATGTGTGCGTGTATTTTTCCTCTTGAAAAAAGAATACACACACACACACACACTATATCTATATCTATATCTATATATATATAGATAGATATACTTTTTCCCTTTGGTATTCTTTCCTTTTTCTAATGATCATCCCTATTCGTCTCTATGCAAAGAGGTCTTGTACCATCATCTTGGAGACTTAAGGTTCACGAAACGCACTGCACAAATTATCCAGTTGGAGACCGCTTGAACTGCCCTGGCTCAGTGCTAGGGAATCCTGGGAATTGTAGTCTACTGTGGCACCGAAACAAAAAATGATTTCTTCTCTGTACAAACCTCCGTTTCGTTTGTCATACAATGTAAAAAAAAAAAAATCATCGTTATTACAGTCCCTCTCCTACATACAGTCAGATTTCACATTCACATTAGGTTCCTTTATACTGTATGCTAGATAGAGATCTATATCTATATCTATATCTATATCTATATCTATATCTATATCTATATCTATATCTATATCTATATCTATATCTATATCTATATCTATATCTATATCTATATCTATCTATCTATCTATCTATCTATCTATCTATATAGAGAGAGGATCTGTTAATTATAATAAATGATGATGAGGATGATATTTATATAAATGCAATGAAAAAACTAACTTTTCAAGGGGGAAATGCTCCCAGGGTCGACTCCCCGGAGTGGCCAGGCACGCCCTCCTTTTCCAGGACATGTCCTACATTTCCCCCTTCTGTCCAGGAGGAATTTCAAAAGGTCCTCCATTTGGAGCACGACCAAGAAGCATGAATTTACGTTTATATGATGTTCATTTCGATTTTGATTTTTGACTTTTACTTGGTCCTGTCCTCTCTTTTCCTGGACCGTCCTCCATTTTGCGATGCTGTGTCCTCCTTTGCGGTGAGGACATCTGATCCCCCTGAGCCCCCCCAACTTGGGGAACTGGGGGGAATTACTTTATTTTTTGGGGGGACTGGACTAAAACAACTATCATCGACAGAACCACTGGCTGGAGTCTGGAAGCTGGAGTACCAAGAAATAAATTTCCAAGCAGTTTTTTAAAAAGAGCAATCAAATATATGATGATGATGATGATGACGATGACGAAATAACAAATATCTGATGATGATGATAATGATGATGATGATTTGAAAAAAAAATAATGCAGATATTTAAATGTTCAGGCAGCTCTGCAGTTCCAAAACTAACCAGGTTATAAACGTGGTTTGGAGAGGCAATGTGTCTCAATGGTTTGAGCGTTGGACTAAGACTTTGGAGAACAAGGATCGAGTCCCAGCTTGGCCATGAAACCCACTCTGAGTGACCTTGGGCAAATCACACTCTCTCAGCCTCAGGAGAAAGCACCAGTAAGTAAAGCTCCCCTGTACAAATCTTCCCTAAAAAAACCCATGATAGGTCGCCATAAGTCGGAAAGGACTTGAATGCACACAACACACACACACACACACACAAGAGAGAGAGGAAACACTCAGGGGTAACTGTGTTGGCCATTGAGCAAATTCAAACACAAATCCATCAGTGACCCTTTTTATTGGCCAAACAAAATGCACAGTTGTATTTATTGTAATGATGCAATAAATTATACAATTATATTGTGCATTTTGGTTGGCCAATAAAAGGGATCACTGATGGATTTGTGTTTGAACACACACACAGGAGTCTTTCCTCTTGAAAGGCTTCCCCAGCGATAGAAATTTTTTATCTAATGCAAATATTCCTTTTCTCCCCCTAAATGATAATAATAAAAAATAGTCACATCTGGAGGGGGAAAAGTCCATCTTCTTTAAAATAATAATAATAATAATAATAATAATAATAATAATAATAATAATAATAATAATAATAAATAATAGTAATAATTCCCCTACTGATTCGGTTTAATAAAGTCCTCATTGCCACACAGATCGTTGGAACTGCCAGCGATGGAACCGGAATGCACACTTTCTGAAAGTGGAAACTCTTGGCTTCGGGGCTAAAGAATGAATGAATGAATGAATGAATGAATGAATGAATGAATGGGATCCTGGTCCTCAACCCTGAACAGAGTAGATCCCTTTGAATCAAGTGCTGCAGGGGAATCGACCCAAGGGCAAATCCCATTGATTCAATGGGAGGGCAGAATTCAGAGAGGTATCTCTATTAGTATCTTTATCCAAAGGGGTCTTGTAGCCTCTTTGAGACACACTGAAGAAATAATCCAGTTTGAGATCGCTTGAACTGCCCTGGCTCAGGGCTAGGGAAGTCTAGGAACTATAGTTTTGTGTGACATTTAGCTTTCTCTGTCAGAGAGCTCTGGGACCATTACAATCCCCAAGATTCCCTAAACCCTGAACCAGGGCAGTTTAAAGCGGTCTCAAAGTGGATTACTCCTGCAGTGTGTTATGCATCTGAAGGAGCAGACCGAGTCTACAGAAGCTTCTTTATTTTTAAAAAAATGTATTTCATTTTTATGCTGCCTTTCTCCCAGAGGAAGGCTCAGGAGGCAAAGACATTTCCAAAAGCTTTACAATAAAAAAATGCAATAACATTTGAAATCATTGTTCTTGTGCTTTTGATTTTGTTGCTACTGAAGCCATGATTATTCTTCATAAGATGCTGACATGCCCATTCCTCACAATGCAAGCTTTACAATAAAAATGCAGTAACAATTGAAATCATCCAGTTAAAACACTATAAAGTTCACATAAAGTGTTTGGGTTTTTTAAAAAACTAAGACAGAGACATATTCCATATAAAAGCCACCCTGTTAGGATTTTTAAAGAGCCAGCCTGAATTATTATTATTTTAGAAAAAACCCAAACCTTTTTGCTTGCCAGGGAAAGGAAAGCAGGGAGGGGGGCCAGCCTAGCTTATGCTGCCACTTCTTCCAAGGTGCTCCAAGGTCCTTTTGCAGAGGGATTCAATGGGTTTACTCCTCTCACCAGGAGCAACAACAGGGCCAGGACTCCCAAGCCTTTCTGGCACAGGGAGGGGACCCAGATAGGTTTAGCTTCCTTCCCTAGGCTTCCCAGTCTTTCTTGCTGTGTGCCTTCAAGCCCTTCCCAATTTAGGGCCATCCTAAGGCAAACCTATCATGGAGTTTTCTAGGGAAGCTGATTGATTGATTGATTGATTTCCTTTGTATGCCGCCTTTCTCCCAGTAGGGACCCAAGGCAGCTCACAGATAATTTTTTTTTTAAAAATTTTTTAAAAAAATCAAAATAATTAAAATATTTTTTTGTTGTTGTTAACTGCCCTCAACTCATGGCTACCCTATGGCTGAGATCTCTCCAAGACCCTCTGTCCTCCACTGCTCTGCTTAATTCCTGCAACCCCTTAATACCCAAAGTGACTTCCTTAATAGAGTCCCTCCATCTAGCATGTGGCCTTCCTCTCCTCCTACTTCCCTCCACTTTTCCCAGCATTATTGTCTTTTCCAATGAGTCCTCTCTTCTCATGATGTGTCCGAAGTATGATAGCCTCAGTTTGATCATCTTGGCTTCCAGGAAGGTTTCTGATTTGATCTGTTCCAGGACCCATTTGTTTGTCCTTTTGGCTGTCCATGGGATCCTCTTCAGCACTCTTCTCCAGCACGATATTATCTCAAATGTGTTGATTTTCTTCCTATCATAATCTACCAACACTATAAAAAACACATTAAAATATGCAAAAGTTAAAAGCATAGCTAAATCCCACCTGCTCCATAAAAACCACCCTGATATGAGTTGTGTATTAAATGCCTGGTTAAATAAAAATGTCTTGACTTGTGGGGGGGGGGG